AATATAATACTTTAATTAATTAATATTGCTTAATATAAACCTTACCAATAAAAATATAAAATAAGAATACATGCACAATTAAATGAACTTAATATAATAATGTAGCATGCACAATAATAGGTAAAGAAATCTACACATAAATGAATTTAAATAAACTAAGCTCTTTAATAAAATACGGGGTATTACAGAAGACATGTGGGTGTGAGTACTAATTAAGAAATAATAATAAACATTATATAGTTCACTTGAGTTTATAATCAACGGTCATGCAATGCAATCCCTAAAATGAAATGATTTGGCCATAAATTCTAATATCCTTTTCATAAATATTTCATTTTCGTAATTCATTCACTTCATATTATTTTATTTCATCTTATTAACAATTTTATCTTACACAATTTTATATTTGTGCTTGATTTATCTTTCAATAGTGTAGATTTACATGAAAATATTTTACTCCTACATGTAATAGTTGGACGAGAACGCATTAGGTTTTGATCATCTCTTATACAAACAAATGCGACAATATATCAATAATAGATTAAACAGCTCGAATTAATATAGTCGAGTGAAAATTAAATTGATACTGGATTCCATCGAGGTAACATAATTATTCCATGAATAGAATTATTTTCTATGTACCATATATGTGTTTATATTACTTTTTGGTGAAATGCATGATTTTGTACATGTGTTTATATTATATTATATATATATAGTATCTTGTATAACGATATTATGTGTAGAAGATAATTGAGGGCAAAAATATAATATGTACAACATTCATATTTGAGCTCTTACATTTAACAAACAATCTTAATGAATTCAACGCTTACAAATAAGATAATATTAAACAGGTTTTCATATTAATACAATCAGCATTTAAAATTTCAGCGCTCATGACTTACAGTTTTCAGTTTTATCAAACAACACTTAAGACTGAAAGTTCATCACTAAATCAGTCCCCACCACAAATTCGATTCGAATTTTTAATTATTTTATCATATCCGTCCGACACTCATTTAGAGAGTTACCAAATCCACCCTATTAGAGACGTGAGAAAAACTTGTTGGGTTGGAAGAAATTACGATCACTAATTGTCAATCTAACTTCATAATTGGAATTGTTCAAAGAGTATTTTATTTTTGGTTGATTAAATAACAGCATTATGTAAATAATGAATTGTTAAAATAGTGTTAGTCCAGCCAGCAAGAAGAAGGTTAATGTGGCAATATCTTACAATTTTGTCACAATAAAGCAACATATAGAGACAAATTTTAGGTGGTTAGAGACAAATTTTTAGGTGGTTACTTAGAACTTCATCAGAAATAAACAATCTCCATCGCATTGGCTAGCGGACGATTATGTCAATTCCATGTTTAGGCTGAAATGTATGCATAAGAATTATTCAACATCACCAGTAAAAGTCTAATTTAATAGACACATATTCAAACCAATTCCCTCATTTGTTGTCTCTTGTCATTAATACAAATATAATAGCTAATCTTACACGGTTACACCACAATAAAATAATATATATATATATATATATATATTATTATTACCATGCGGACCATTCCTTTGACCACTCCTCCATTTTGGGGGAAAACTAGAAAGCAGTAACTATCTCTAAAAATAAAAATAAAATAAGTAACACATCGATTTCAAAAGAGACATATAGAATAAGTAATTATTCAAGTCCTCTAGAAACTGCGACTGGCAATTGGCAATTGGCAATTGGCAATTTGGCCATTCAGACCCTGTATACATTAGTAGCCATACCAAATTGTGTGGTCTTCAGTGTATTGATGTTATCCTCACATATGTGGGTCCCATTCCGATAGAGGAGTGTGTGAAAAAAGTCACCTCCAGTGTGTGAATTCGACAATTCTTTATATAAAGTGAAAAAAACACACGCGCGTGCGCACGCACTTTCTCATATTTCACACAACTCAAAGGAGGACTTTCACGTCCAAAATCCTTGTGGGATTTCAACTACAAAAAGAAACCTATAGTAATCCGCAACCTTGGGAATCATGCCTTCACCATATTCATTAAACAAACAATAAGCAATCAGAACCTGCCGAGATTTGAATAAATCTTGTTTTTATACTAATAAATTATAATATATAAAGATTATTCTTTGTCACCCATTCAATAATGATTTGTTGTTCAATCTATTCAACGTCAACTCTCTCTCTCTCTCTCTCCTTCCCACTTTTTGCGTGTATTATTTGTTTATTGTACTGATTAAAGTTTGGAATGTAAATTTGGATTACCAAATTTAAGTATTGCAGCATTTTGTTGTAAATAATGTCAAAATGTTTTGTTTATATTATTATTATTATTGTCATTTTTCTTTTTCTTTTTCTTTTTTTCACGTTGATACAAAGGTAAAAACTCATGATTTAGATTCTATGCATATATAATGTAAGGAATTAATTCATATGAAGTGGGATTGTAAATGAATCAAATTGTTCGTAAAACTCGACTTAGCCTTATCGACTCGAGCTTGATTTTTAAGTTTGTTTAGTACACGAGTTGATCATGAAAAAATTCAGACTTGTGAACATGTACATTCATAAGTATAAATTCATATAGGTTTATGAAAGAAAATTCGTAAATATAAGTTAGTGTATGTTTATGTTCACATTCATAAACAAATCAAACTAATTTATAAGAAAAAGAAATCATTTTCTAATTTCATTTATAAATGTGATAATTAATAAAATTTTATTTTCAGCTTTTGGACGGTGGGTCATCCCCTCATCTAAACTCCTCCCCTCTTCTATCTACATCGACATCCATCACATCATTGGTTTGTGCCACATTGCTACATGATGGCATGCATCATCGTTCATGCTCATGTATGTACAAAAGATGACATGACATGGTCCATAATCCATATGGGTATTGAGTGATTTCTGAAGTGCCACGTGTGACCCTTATCATTGAAAGCAGTTGGAATAAGACAATAACAGGCCAACAACCCACGTGGCCCGTCGCAATCCCTCAATAATTTCACGGGAGACGCGAGTCAGCATTTTGGTGAGCTAAATATGAACCCCAAAACCATACATCCACACTACCATCCATTATAATGCTGTTGGCACATTTTCGTCCATCTGATCATATGCGGTCCGTCTGATCTATCACTATCATCCCTTACCAAACTTACAATCAAATCAAAGACTTTGGTGAATGGATCCTAAGCACAAATGCTATTTACTGGGAAAATCAACGGCTTCGATTACCTCCAGATAGACTACCGTTTGAAACAACATGTTGGTGCAGGAAAATTAGGGTGTTGCTGATGCGTAGCTTACCATGACCCTTTACCAGAGGGTTCTATTGCAATTTATTTCATACCAATCATTTGACATGTTTTACTTAATATAATACTCCCTCCCGCCTGTATGAAGTGTCACTTTTAAAAAACTGTGACCTTTACAAATTAAATTACCCAATTTCAAAATACGATACGTTTTTTTTAAATGGAGGTAGTACTATCATATTATTAAAATATTAAATTTTATATTTTAATTACATTATCAAAAATAAAATAAGAAGGAAGATAACTTGGTTTTTTAAAACTACTCACTTCAAAATAATTATACCAAAATATTTATTTGGAATGCAATAAATATAATATGGGGACAATAAAAGTTAAGTATTAAAAAAATAAAATCACGAAATAAAATCACGTCTCACCGCTAATCGAATTTTGTTTTCTTTAAAAAAAAAAAATTTAATAATAAGTGTTAGAAAATTGCATCCATTCCTAGTTGATATTGCTTATTTGTTTGAGTGTGATAAAGGAATTAAAAATTACATTATTGACATACAAATTTTCGACTAAAATATAATAAAAAATTTAAAATTAAATCTCTACTTTTTTATCCCGTTGATCAACTCAAGGTAACCCACCCATATAAAATTTAATAAATTACAATTTAAATTATTGTATACCTCCCTAAATGCATGCTATTTAAAAATTAGAAGTTCAATCTGTTTTTTTTTTTTGACCCATTTTGTCATAAATTGTCTCATTTTCTTTATTAATTTTGTTTTATTTATTTCAGATTCTAACGAGTTATAAACAGATTCTAATCATTCATCAGTGTCATAATAAGTCACATAATATTTTATTTCTAGTTCTACCGCAATAATAAAAATTTATAGACGTAAGGAGGAGATTCACGTGTTTTTCTTATATTCGGTCTGTGAGATGAGTGAACTGCTTGGGTTGGGTTGGGCCTATTAAAATTGTAAGATGGTTAGATATTTAATTGGACGTGTTGGGCTGAACCATATTTTTTTTTCATATACTACGTAGTTTATGTTTCCTGGTTAAGTGTAACGCTACAGTGCCGGTGATGAGGACTGGAAACAAAACCCTAAAACCAGAAAACCTCCTTCCACTTCCAGACCAGGGACGGACCTATTATGCATACAAACTATCCACACCATTAACCCAAGTGATAAGTGGACATTTGTAGTTGTGAATTAAGTCACACAATCCTTCTCAACCAACAGGTGTTGCTCTCACGCTCTGTGCACGCTCTCGTTCAAATTCTTACTGCTTATAACTTAATTCTGTTGTTCTCCCGCTCCCGCTCTCGAATTCGCTCACTCCTGCTCCTGCTTTATGTGACTTAGATTGTGAGTGTGGGTGGATAGTTACTTGAAAAAAGAAAAAAAAAAAAAAAACAATTAAGCATATAATTCTATGTTCATTAAATTTTATCATTTTTGCATGTTGTGGTACAATTGGATCGTGCGTTATTATTCAATGTATTAGCGTACCTGTGTCCAAAATCAATAATATCTTCTTCATTGATTTTCGGTCAATGCAACAAAAAGTTATAGATTTCTTCGGTTGAGCTATATTTGGACAATTCTACGGTTCCATACCAATTAGCCAACAATACTTTACTCCACCATTGCTTTTTTATATACAGTTATATTAGAGAAATAAATAAATAAATAAATCATTAAACTAGAAAAAAATAGAGCTTATCTTGAAGCCTTATATGTAGATATGTCTGTATACATACAATTATATTTAAACACACATATCAAGCACACAGGGACGCCTGAAAATTCTGATAGTAATAGCACATAGTTGCCAAAGCATATACACTTTCATAAGCCCACAATCTTTATTCACTAATGATATAGACCAATAGAGATACAAGCTGCCTTCAAAACCATTTAAAAATTAATGCTGCAGCGAGCCATAACCCTACTCTTAGGGCTCACTGCCCTCCCGCCAAAAGGCTCTCTCTACCATTACTGCTGCCCCAAGCCCTCTCCTTCCAAATCTTCTCAACTTCCTCAAATGTCAATCCCTTGGTCTCTGGCACATACACTGCCACGAACACGAAAGCAATCACAGCAATACCGGCAAGGATCAAGAAAGTCCCACCTGCTCCAATAGCATCAGCAATTGAAAGAAAACTCTGGGCTACTATCAGATTCGAAATCCAGTTCACAGTAGCTGACATGCCCCCGCACATCCCTCGATACGACTCCGGATATATTTCCGAGTTCACCGTCCATGGTACAGGCCCCATCCCAGGTGCAAAGAAAGCAATATACAAGGCTAAACCTAGTATTGCAATCCACCCCAAATATCCAGCTGAAGAACCAGAAGGTTCTAGCAAAAATGCCACGGAGAGAATGATAAGGGACAGGATTACGCCAGATAAGCTACTGAGGGCCAACTTTCTGCGTCCATAATAGTCAATGAGGTAAATTCCGAGAACTGTTCCAGCAGCATTCATTGCGGCAACAATGAGGGATAGAAGAATTGCTAATTGGTTGGAGCTGAAGCCAGCCATCTGAACAATTGTTGGGCTGTAGTACATGACTGTGTTGATGCCAGTGAACTGCTGAAATGCCTGCAAATTCATAATCCTTCTGTCACAAACAGACCACAACACTAAACAAAAAGTACTGAAAAGGCAACTACTCCATGGCAACAGCTCATATTTCAACCTCCATGCGTTTCAAGAAATCATTGATCTTAACAATGACTCAAAATCTAGCACTTCAAAGATTGCAAAACTGGGTCAATAGTGCCATCAACGAGTTATGCATACAGTGCTCATCAAAGGAAGTGATTTTTTTTTTTTTTGATAAGTAACATCAAAGGAAATGACTTAAAGTGGATTTCGAATTTATATTCTTATTATCCACTTGGAGAAAAAGGAGGTGGTGTAAATGATTTTGGTAAATTATGGTGCTGGAAATGCAACATACTACCATGTTCAAGCCTAGATTCCACGTCTCGTGCTGTTGCTATTCAAGTAATATTAGCCGATTTTCCTCACACTGAAGCAGTATGCACTTTTACGTGCTCTCAGAAGCCCACTTGGTGGGACTTCAGCAACCCTATCAATAATGTCATCAGGACTAGAAAGACTTTTTGTAGTTTACATCTTAAGATGCCAAAAGACAGGCTTAAAGCCAAAAAAAAAAAGAAGGCACAACGTTAATGCAAGTAACCAAAAACTCGTGCCACAATCTGCGAAACTCTCATGACTCATGAGGCAAATGCCTAAAGCTATGACAGTCCTGTTACTGCCGGCCAAAATAAAAGGCCTCTCTGGAAATAACATAAAGAACTTGCCTAGATAATATCAACTGGAAACATATAACCGAGTATTCTTAATTGAAACATATATTTTCCACCTCCATGTTCCAATTAATTGAGAGGCAATTATTACTACATACAGTCTAGAGATGATGCAGACCTCACCATCATGGCTTAAAATAAAACTACTACCTCTGTCCCATATTAGTAGTCCACTATCTTATTTTTAGATGTCCCAAATTAGTTGTAAAGCAAATAAGTTTTATCTTTCCATCATTGTCCTTTATATTTTCAAAAAATTTCAAACTTGGTAACTATACATATCAAAACTAAAAAGGACAAGTTGGTAATTTTAAAAGGGGACAATGCATTAATTGCATGTCCCCTTAAAAACTCCAATTTCTAAACATGAACATCTAATATGGGACGGAAGGAGTAAATAACAAGAGAGAGAGAGAGAGAGAGAGAGAGAGAGAGAGATTTACGGGATGATATTTGGAGAAAACGAAAAAAAATTATGCCATTTTTCTCAATCAAAGGCCACAGATTCAATTCAAGGGCAGATCGTCATCTCCTTATTCTCCTTGCTTCGATTTTTGGCAGTCTCCAGAGTCTCCAAATCTCAAACCCTCATTTATGTCGGCACCTAATCAGGTAAGCTCTTCTTACTCTCTATACCTTATTCACCTCTCGGTTCACATCATGGAAATCTTCCTTTCCCAAGCTTAGGTTTCAGCCACGGCTGGTCGACAGTAGTGAAGATGGGAAGAATATATTTACGGAGACCTGTTTGGGACGATTGAGATGGAGAGGGTTTAGATAATAATATTATCTAAGCAAAGAGACATTTGTTCAGTATTATTGAGATGGAGATGGCAACCTTGATATTACCCAACCAAAGAGAATCATTTGAGTATGATCGAGATGGAGAGGGCATCCGTGATATCATCCCAACCAAAGAGACCCAAGAGGTTTAAAGATATCAGAACATCCATCTGGTGGTAGTGGTTTGGAAGTTGGTGGTGATGGAAGTGGAGTGATAGAGTGGAAAAAAGAGAACAAAGGAGGCAATGGCGGTGGTGGTGGGGTGGAGGAGGTGAGAAGGGTGATTATATTGGGACTTGGGAGAGATGAGTGAGGAGAGAGAAAATAACAAGATGGAGAGAATTATTGTTATTATTTTTTTGGTTAAGGGTATCTTTGTCCATCAAGGAGAGATTATTTTTGTTACTTAACACCATTTGAGGGGTAATAAAGTCATTTCAAATTATTGAAGGGTATTTTGGGCAGTACACTTATATTTTGTAACGGAATTAACAGAAATTTGGACATAAGGAGATTCCTGTTACCACGCCCCAAAGTTTAAGCAAGTACGGTGCAAATTTATTCAAACTATCAAGCGTGTGTAATTTCACTAAATATTTTATCCTAAAGTTTAAAAGCCTTTTGTGTCGATCAAATAAGTGAATTTCTTTCCAGGGAGGGGGGAGGGGATCAGCATCTGGAGTAGGTTCGCAATCTTTTTCTTTAAAATGTTGCAATGATATTTTCAAAGATGTCTTCCCAATTTAAAAACCTTCTCACAATTCATACAAACAGGATCATAAATAGTGACTAATTGCAATGTATCTCCAGTTAAAGGGAGAGATTAATATATGATTAATGCATACATGCAGACTGGTAATTACACATGACAAGAAGTTATGTTGACAGAACACGACCATCCAAGGAAAACCAAATATTATATACATAGGGAGAGTTTAAAACACTAGGGCTGTCTAGGAAAGACCCAATCTTACCTGAAGTCCAGCTCCTGCAAGAAATGCAAGTCTGATCTCTTTCACTTTAAAAACATCCGAGTATCTCACAGCATTCTTTCTCTGGTCTTCTTCCTCTAATGCGGTAGAAAGTTGATCAATCTCCTCCTCTAACCGATAAGGATCATAAATTTTAGAAAGCACGGAAATGGCTTCAGATTTATCCTTCTGCACATGAGCACATCATAGAAAAGGTTTTTATTAAAAAAGTTGATTACAACTGGAGAGAAATTTAGTTCTGAAAGAAAGTTTAGAAAGAACAAAGCAATTTGAACCTTCATATAAAGCCAGCGAGGGGACTCTGGCAAAAACAGCATAAGGGAGAACTGAATAACAGCCGGCACGCCGGAAACTCCAAGCATCCATCGCCAAGTCCCCGGAACCTGCTCAACCATGGACATGGAAGAAAACATTACACATATTGCTCATAAATTTCTAGTAGTATTAGCCACAACAATAGAAACAATAAGATCTTCGTTCCTTCTGCAAACCAAAAAGAAACAAACTAGTCCATCCTTCAACTTAATCGCTTTCCCTCAACCCAAAGAGCTATAAGGTTTTATAAAATGCAAAATATGTGTGTATTTGCAATTTATGCAAATACACACATATATATAAAGAAAAAAATTCAGAAGACCAAAAAGCTGAGCTACCCAACTAGATGCTAAGCAAATTCCTAACATGTTGAAAGTAAAAGATTTTATATATCAATAATTCAAAAATCACTAGAAATTATGTTGAACGAAAAGTCTTAATTTTTAGGTGCAAAATCCAGATGAAATAATTTAAAAAATATAAAAAGAGAGTGGTAAATCTTGCCCAGTGTAATTCATTAGTCCTTCATTCTTCTAACCACTCTTTCTGGACACTCTTCACGAACAAGTAGCTAGCCTTTTTACAATATAAACAGATAACCCGGTAATAAAATGTTTCAAGACTATTAAACAGGACCATAAAAGTCCAATGAAATTTAAGAATACTACTAATTGCATGAAAATTAAGAGGACCCAGTAATCATATATATTAAGGTTATTCAAAAGAGACAATGGACTTCTAAGTCATCATCTGTGACCCCTCAATAGGCCATCGAAGGAAACCAGTGTGTAACTCTGGTTGACAATAAAATCATAATCAAGTGGTCAAAAGGTAATGAAAGTCCAATAAGACAACCAAATAATAAAAAAAATTGAGAGTGGAAGAAGAAGAAACTGAACACTTTTGCCACGTGATAACTTCCAGTTAGGAAGAGGTGATCCATTATAATAATAAATATAGAATAGTAACAAAATAGCAAGTGATAATATATATACACACACACACTAACTTTAGTCAAGGAATCAACCGCATGCTTTCAACAACTAAACACCGCATAACAACTAATATAGGCAGAAAAGTAAAGAACAGTTTCCTTCAGAGATGTTTCTCATTGCGACAACTTATATGCAAGCCCCAAATTCTATCCTGATGCTGCCTCTTCGAAACTGCACAATGGAAAACCTTTCATGCCAAGAAAGCAATTGGATTAAGCATGAATTAAACACAAAATTCTCCCACACTGTAGTATAAAATAACGTAAATGTACCTTGTGGAAACTAAATGATGCTGATAACATAAATATGGAAAATTTTACAAATTTAAAATCCTTCCTGTCAACTAAACTAGTCAATCCTCAACAACTACAGAAGAAGATCGTATCCAAGAATTTATGCAGACATTTCCATAGAATTCAATTTCTTCTTTACGACGAGAAAGAAAAGGCAAAAGGGAAAATTGAAATCCTCAGTAGCAATTCATATTGTTAATTAGCATTTGAATAGTCAAAAGCTAGTTAAGATCAGTCACTGTTAAAACTGTACACCTTGAGAACTTTCTGATGTTCTTGCACAATCATGTGGGGCCCTAAAACTTTCGTCAATGACATGTATTCTTTTTTACTTCTACAGTTCTAAAGTGAAATGCATGTATAGACCAACCATTCTCTGCCAAATTAAAAATTCTTCCCACTTTTAATAATTATATGTTTGGAAACCTTACTTTAAGGTCACCCCAACCCAACTCGGACAAAATTTACTTCCTTAGAGGCCCAAACTTGTAAAAATGTAACAGTACTGAAGTTTTAAGGGCTAACAGGATCCTTTTGTCCATATTATTTTCAACTGTTCTGGTAATATTGACATCAAGTTGTATCTGGAAAAACACTGCAATATGGGGAACAGCATGAAATAACAAAGCAAGAAAAATCTGACCTCTGTGAAAGCAAGATTCACAAGGTAGGAAAGAAATTGTCCACCAGTAATCATCAGCACATTAGTGCTCACAAGACCTCCCCTTATTTCTGATGGGGATGCTTCTGCAATATACACAGGAGCAGTAACAGATGCCACACCAACACCCAAACCAACCAAAAGTCGTCCTACTATAAGAACATATGGATCTGGAGCAGCAGCCATAACAATTGATCCAATTGCAAAGACCACATCAGCAAGAAGAGTAGCTCTTTTACGTCCATAAACATCATTTATCCAGCCCCCTGCTGCAGCTCCAATTATTGCCCCAACCAAGGCCATGCTGACAATTGTTTCCTGAAAAATAATAGATGTAGAACCCTCAAAAGAAATAAGTTTACGACTCCCACTTGGAAGTAATAAAGAATTACGAGCAAAATTGGAGGAAAAGATGAATGGTGAATGGTTACAATAAACTTTACAGCTTTCGAATCCCATCAAAAAGGTGGAAAAAAATGATTGGGAGAATCAAATTTTAGGTTCATTCCAAGCTGTACCCATGAGCTACGAGGGAAGGTATAAATTGGTTCATTTGAGTTCAAAATCTGTTATATTACCCTTTTTTTTTTTTTAATAAAATACTTCTCAGAAAGAACCCTAATTTGTAATTTTCCCAAAAAAGATTTTGTCTCTCTAGCATTAATAAACACCACCACCCCACCAACAGCACCACTGCTGCTACCACAGCTACAAAAACCTACTTCACAGACTTTTCCCTCTTTTCAAACTCAAAAACAATTGAAGGGTGTTTTCTCTCATTTCTTTCAGAAACCAAAATGTATATAATTTTCCAAAAAGAAAAGAAAAATAAAGAATCAGTTGGTCAGAGCTTGTACCTGTAGGAAACTACTCTGATCAACCACCTCAAATTCATCTCGAATATACAGAAGGGCTCCTGATATAACTCCTGTCATTTAAATTTGCAAATCAACAAGAGACTTCCAAGAAAAATTGAGATGCATAGAATGGGAAAATGAAAACTAAAATCAAACAAAAAGAAAGAAACTAGTGTATACTATACACTATTTCTAACAAATGAAATGGATTGAAAGAACTTATGGTTCTGAAAAGAAAAACGAAATTAGATAAATTTATATAAGTTGCCCACGTTAAAATTTCATTTGTTTGGCTGGACATAGTGTGTGTGGGGTTGGGTTGGGGGTTGGGGACTTTCAGTTGATCTCAAAGAAATATACTATGAACAGCTAAAATACATGTAAATTTGCTAATCACCAAAATTCATGTGAACTTTAACATGTCCTATGCATTTTGATCAATCAAGAAAAATAAATAAATAAATAAAATAAAAATAAAAATCTCCAATATTTTCTCATGAAAATCAAAAATAAAATTGTAAATAACTCAAATAAGGGCTTTGTTAATCATATCTGCTGCATAACGCCACAGCAAATGAACCTTTCAATATATAATAACACGGCAACACACCCAATAGCTCTGGAAAAGGAAAAAAACCAAATTCATGGGCACTTCTGTTCCTGAGGGTGCAATAGGTCTGACAAATGACAATAGACTAACTTTATCAACATGGAATGCAAGATAAATCTCAATCAAACCAGTAAGTGGTAGGTCCCAAGCAATTGAATAGCAAGTATCATTCTCATTCCAGAGAATAAATATATTATTATCCACAAATATCAAATTTTCATGCCAAGTGACCAGAACATTTCACAAAGCAATTGAAAGTGCAAACAGTTCATAAACAGACACATAAATAAAGAAAACTAGTGTATCACTGCCAGAAAATTCTAATACCTGTGTCATAGCCGAAGAGCAGTCCACCGATGCCGGCAACCACAGTCAAACCCACTACATATGAATTACTGAAATAAGTTATTTTCCTATCACTGCCTGATAAATACCCGGAACTTCCCGGCAACGACTCGATGGTCATTGTAACACAATTTTCTCAAAAAATTCTAAAGTTCTAACAATACACAAGAGAAAACCCCTCAATCAGAAGTAGTCAGTATAATCAGAGTAAACACTCTCAATCCTAGACCTAGTATTCTATAAAAATACAATATTTGTCAGCTGAGAAACAAATACAAACTGTACCCAGTAACCCAGTTCAAGACCAGATTAAAATTATTGTACAGAATATGGTAAAACTGATTTAAAGGACAACCCAGAAAAAATTGGGATCTGATGAGTTGATTAATAGGTTTGAATTACCATAAACTTTCAAACCCCGGAAATCAACCAATGTAAGAAGCAAAACAGAACCAAACCCTCGAACCTTTTGACTGTAATTGCAGTAATTATAGAGCCAAAGTACATAAACCCACCAAGCAAAATCACATCTACCAACCAGTTCTAACCCCCCTCTGGAGTCAAGACCAAAATGGGCAACCCCAAAACCAAGAAAAACACGGAATTTCAAACCAGAAATGGGAGCTCTCTTGCACTCTAAGGACCCATAAACTGTGGGTGTCTTGTAATGATTTTGAGAAATAGAATACACAAATTACACGGAAAGGGACATAGATCTATCGGGTTCTGGTTGATCAATAAGCCGAAAAGAAGATGGATTTTCCTGAGAAAAAGTTGGTATTTTCCTCGAGAAACTCGTGCGTAACAGTGAGAAAATTAAAAGCAAGCAGGTGCCTGAGGTCTGTGTGGTGGTTGTTGAAAAATGTAGGAACGACAAGGACGACTTGTCCTGAATTTAAACGGCTGCAAGGAAATTTGAGTGCAGTGATTTGCTACCCGAAGGTGAGTCACCTTCATATGGAAATTTCAGTTGTCGCAGTCAATGTATTTGGCAAAAATTCCAAATGTTATTCTAGAAAGAAGAAGAATCAAATTTTATTTTCTCTAGTTAATATTCAAAGTTAATGCTATCTAATTCACTTTTCTGTCTTCCAAAGCATTTCAAGGAATCAAATTTCATTCCTCTTACTGAGAGGGTGGAATGGCTATTCCATTTTCACTAAGAATTAATAAAATAATTTAAAGAGATAATTTACATACACACATTATATAATATATAATATGTATTTATATGCAATTTGTTTCCTTTCTCCTATTTACACACGAATGAGACAAAAACAGTATAATTGAACTGAATTCTATGAGCTTCTGTGTTTTGTTATGCAACTTTCTCAGCCCTTTGTTTCTTTTTTCTTGCCAAAAAAGATGATTGGAAAAATATCTTTCCTTTTTATTTTTGCAGTCATCAAAGAGTCCTGTGTTTCTTTTTTCTCGTCTATTTTCTCTTTCTATCTCGTCTATTTTCTCTCTCTCTATTTTCTCTGTTTCTTTTTTCTAAGTCTATTTTCTCTCTCTATTATTTCTTTCCCTTTTATTTTTGCAGATTAATTTTTTTAGTTAATTTTTTTTACTAATAATATAATGTAATTTAAAGAAACAATATAAATTTATTATATTCCAACTTTTTTACCAAACACAGGAATGAGAATGAGGATTTCATTTTTACACATTCGTTAACAACCAAACGCTAAAATAAGAATCATCATTCCCATTCTCATTCCATTCCCACCTCTATTCTCATTCCATTTCAATTCATTTCACCACACCAAACATGCCCTTAGTCTCAAGTAAGTAAGTACTAAAAAAATAAAAAAAGAAAAACAATTACATCATTTAAGCGTAATCCATAACAGAGATTCTTCTCAAATAGGTGTATGTAGTTATTATAAGTTTTTTTTTTTTTTTTTCTATATAGTTATTATAAGTTTATTATATATGAATATGCATATATTTTGTTTTCTTAATATGGAGTATAAAAATGGGATTAAAATTTGGGAGGAAAGTGAATTAATAAGATGAGTATGAATTAACTAGTTAGATTTTTTTTTTTCTTCGTTAGATATATTTATGCATTCCCACGTAAGGGAGGATATGTTAGCACTTGAGCTAATTGAGTGACGATAAATTGATTATTTAGATTAAATTAATTAATAACAAAGATGATAAAAGGAAGATCAATAGATTTGGTTTTGTTATAAATTTGAAATAATTTCAATATTAAGTAAAAAGATGATTATGACAAAAGGTTTTAACTTTTGGAAAATTGTTTAAAAATACATGTTAAATTTGATAAAATTCACCAAAAGTGTTTTCTTTTTTTTTTATAAAAAAAAAAAAAAAAAAAAAAAAAGAAGAAGAAGAAAAGTTATGATAAATTTGCAGATGTTTTCATATCAGAGAAAATTTCAAATTCCCAAAAAAAAAAAAAAAAAAAGAAAAATTGAATTCGGGTTTTAGCAGGAAAAGCACAAAATTACAACATTGTTTAAAACCATATGATTAATTAAGAAAAATAATAAAATTAGGGCAGCTGAGGTTGGTGACCCGCAGGTCGTTTAATCAATGCCCCTTTCCAAATTAGGCCCATCCTTCGTGGCGTCTTATCTTTGTAAAACTTGTCTTGTCTTTGACGAACTCGTGAGTTTCGATAAGAGCTCTTATTACATAATTTACATCAGATGCCTTAATCACACTTCATACAATCACAGGACATGACCAGTAGGGATTAATCCACTCGCGTTTGTACATTACCTTTTGTAATCGCTCTTCAGTGTGTCCACCACACTACTTGCTTCAGGGTAAATTTGAAATTTGAAATTTGAAAATTATAATAGACTTAGGGTCGATTTATACAATAATCAATATATATTTGACGTGTTAGATCTCACTAATCTCACCAACCAATTATATAATCTATATTATTATACAAATACAATTAAATTTGCATGTTAATATTTAATTAGTCTATATATATAATACCACATTATTAGCTTTGTAAGAGGAAAAATAATATCATCTAAATTATTGTCGCTTTTATTACCAATGATTCCTTCTAAATATATATTGGTTATAAGACTACATTGTTTGTTAGTCAAAATAATTCCACCATTTATATTTTATTTGAAAGAGAATAATTCCACCATTTATATTTATATTTTTTAGCAGGAAAAGCACAAAATTACAATATTGTTTAAAACAATATGATTAATTAAGAAAAATAATAAAATTAGGGCAGCTGAGGTACGTGACCCGCAGGTAGTTTAATCAATGCCCCTTTCCAAGTTAGGCCTACCCTATCCGGGGTCTTATCTTTGTAACACGTGTCCTGTCTTGACTAACTTGTCGGTTGGATAAGAGCACTTATTACATAATTTACATCCTAGATTCCTTAATCACACTTTATATAATGGGATTTTTATATATAATCACAGGATAAGACCGGTAGGGATTAAATTTAATCCACTCTCGTTTGTTCATTACCTTTTGTAATCGCTCTTCAGAGTGTCCACCATACTACTTGCTTGAGGGTAAATTAGGAATTTGAGAACTATAATTGGCTTCCAATTAAATTATAAGATACTCAGCGTATATTTGACTAGTTGGATCTCGCCAATCTCATCAACAAATTATATACTCTATATTATTATACAAATACAATTGAATTTGCATGTTAATATTTAATTAGTCTATATATAATAATGACTTTTATTTAAATTATAGTCACTTTTATTTATGTGTTTATGTTGTGTATGTATTTATTTTATTATTTAAATATGTATTTATTTTATTATTTAAACAATAGCTTTACATTACTTATGCAATCATAATGACTTCTTTCTTTAATTTTTAAAATATATGTTAGACTAACAATTTACATTCACTTCATGTGATTCTTTCTAAATATTAGTTATAACTACGCAGGGGCGGAGCTAGGAATTTTTTACAGGGAGTTGTATTAAAGATGATATATTATATTATTTTCAAGCTAATAGTGATGCAAGAAAATAAGTAAAAAAATATAACTGTAATAATGGTAGAATAATAACATTTAATGATTTGAAAAATAATTATTTTTAAAAAATAGAAACATAAAAGACTAACCTTAAGAGTCCTTTTAGCCACAAATTTAATTACCAAACTTTGAAGAGAGAAAAAAATATAGTTTAAATAAAGGAATGCAACTTTTTTTTAAGAGAATATAAAAAAGAAGAAGAAGAAGAAGAAGAGGAGGAGTAAGAATGAAAAGAAGGAAAAATTAAAGATATTTTTTTAAAAATAATTTTAGTGGGCATTTTTGTAAAATTTTATAAATTATAGGCCTATTCACAATAAAAATTAATTGGCCCAAGGGTAAATAATTATTTGAGGGGGCATTTTTCACTTTTTTATAAATTATTGGCCTATGTGTAATAAAAATTAATGGCTAATTTTTAGGAAAAAAAAATTATTTGAGGGAGGCATTTTGAAATTTTTTATAAATTATAAGTTAATTTATAATTAAAACTAATGGACCAACACATCCCGAGGCCTATGCTCGCCCTTGAGACTACATTGTTTGTTACTCAAAATAATTCCACCATTTATATTTTATTTGGAAGAGAGTAACTTCATTAAAACACACGTCTTACTAATTATACATACATATATTTATGTTTGGATTGAATGCTCCTACACTTTTGCTGTCGTCCTCCTTCGGCGTTATCATAAATTGATATAATCATATAACTTTAGCAATGAATTTATCTTTTAATCATGAATAGTTTTATGTGAAGATTTAAGTGACTAGCAGGTTGTATTATAATATATTTGGGCTAATTTTTAATTAACACGTAAACAAGTGTTAATTTCTCAACTAATATATTTTTCCACTTTTGATGGATAAGAGAAAAGACGTGTATACTATTTTAATTTCTTCATCATCGCCCACAAGACATTATCATTTAAAGGTGATACGCGTGAGGACTTGGAGGGGGACATGGTTGAACGAGAGAGACTTCGTATCCGTCGTTACTTTGGATGCCTGGAGAGGAAAAAACAAAAACTCATAAAATAACAAAAGAAATCCTACATTTTATTTTATTTTACATTATTATTAAGTCCAATCATGTAGAATTGAACACTGCCAATTCTCTCTCTCTCTCTCTTGTGATAAAGTCTTTATCTCAATTCTCGACTCCTCTTTTAATATAATGTGACTAGATCACATTAAAATTATTAAAAAAACATATCTTTTGTAATTGCTCTTCAGAGTGTCCACCACACTCCTTGCTTGAGGGTAAATTAGGAATTTGAAAATTATAATCAGCTTCCAGTCAAATTATTAGATACTCAACGTATATTTGACTAGTTGAATTTCACCAATCTCATCAACCAATTATATACTCTATATTATTATACAAATACAAATAAATTTGCATGTTAATATTTAATTAGTCTATATATAATACCACATTATTAGCTTTGGTAGAGGAAAAATAATATCATCTAAATTATTGTCACTTTTATTTATGTATTTATGTTGCGTATGTATTT